TAAATCTCAGGAATTCCTTTTTCCTCTGGCCCAAGGACATTGCTAATGCAATAGATAACATTAGGCAAAAGACAGTCCCATCCATCACCATCATCATCATCATCAAAATTATCTTCTTCATTATCATGCTAATGATGCATTTATTGAGACACCAAAGTGAAGCATGACCTGCACCTGGAAGAATAAACGCAAAAATGAATGCCGAACCAATTCTTTTAGATTTAAGTATTTGTGTATTTGTTATATGCTGGACACTGTGCTAAACACCTGGGTAAAAATGATAAATTATGAATGTGCAAGTGTCATGTTTGATTTGTCAAGGAGCTGGTCAACTCTTATCCTCAAGTTAAAATACAGATTAACCTTATTCAACAGTTTTCTAGACTCTTCTTTATTCAAACTTATCTATTCAAGGTCCTTGTCTGTTTTGCTCCTCTTCAGTTGCTAATGGTGACCCAGCCCGGGCTCTGGGAATTTTCTCCAGACTGGTTCAGCAAGTCCAGGCAGGTTCTGCCCCAATGGCTTCTGGGACCACAGTCCTCTAACAACTTAACCACCCCACCAAGTTTCTAACCATTCACCTTTGCTGGAATCAGTCCCTCAGACCAAGTCAGCCACCCAGGTGGGTAGGTGCTGTGAAAAGCAGCTTGAGGCTTTCCTGAGTCAAAAATGGCAGATGAATAGTTGGGACAATAGCCAACTATTGCTAGGCAACCACATGTACTGGACACTGCTGCATGGAGAACACCTTGTTAGACATGGGGGAAAAAAAAAGGAAAGTCCTCTTAGACTTGTTCTTAAAGAGCTTGCAAACCTAAACCTGTTAAAGAGGTGAGTAATCAAAGTTGTAGTCACTGGTGGGAGAATACCTTACAAACTGTTAAGAGTACACCAATGGGTACCGAAAGAGGAATGGGCAAATCATGTAATGATCATTATGCTCTCAACAAGGAATTGTGGTCTTCTTAGCAGCAATTCCATAAGGAAACTTCTAGATGCCTTCCATAAGATGCTTCTAACCCTGCAGCTATTTACAATCCAGTTGGGGAGGCAAGAGATACGGAGGTAAGTGCTAAAATATTATACAATATAAGGCAGTGTAATGTTTGATTATATGCCAAGGGAGTGAAAAAGACAAGAACAAGGAGAATTTAGGAGAAAGAAGGGAGAGATTACTGAAGGCTTGCCAATGGAGTTTGGAAGGCAGTTTTGAGCAGAGTTCAAAGAAGACAGGTGTAGTGAAGAATTAGACCAAATATGCTTGGGTCAGAGCCTGGCCAAAGTGGATGAAGGATACTTTATTATTGGGCCATGTAAGAACTAAAGTCAGAAAGCTATGAGGATGGCAGTTTGTTGGGAGACTTTTGATGCTAGATTGATAGTTTTAAACTTTATTCTTAGGCACAGTTGTTAAAAAACTTCTGAGCCAGGGAATGACATCATAAAAGAAAGAGACTAGAGGCCAGAGGCTAGAAGCAGAGAAGCCAGTTAGGAGGCCACTGCTAGCATTTTGAGATAAGGTCCTGTTGTGAGAGACGGAAAGGAAGGATGGATTTGAGGGGCACCAGAAGAAAGAATCAAGAGCACTTGCCACTAATTGGATGTGGGCAGAGAGGGAGGAGGGTGGGGGATGACTCAGGAGAAGCTTGGTAGGACGTATGTTGAGGGGAAGATTTGGAATCAGGTGATAGACTTCAGTGTTTGCAAATGGAGAGAAAGATTTACATATCTATCAGCAGGAGTGTACTCTCAACTGATTATCTTATAAAAACTGTGGAGTTTCTCTACGAGATAGCCAGGCAGAAGATATTACATGATTTAGAATGGCAACACCAGGGAGCAACTCCTGACTCACACAGGATGGGAGGGTGGAAAACACACTCTGTACTACAAACCATTATAGATCCTAGGCTGAATCCCAGGGTTTTTTTTTTTCCCCCTCATAATTTCATTGTATCTACTTGGACAAAATACTTTAAAACTCATTGGTCCAGTTTCCTTATCTATAAAACAGGGATATATAATGTATTATCTATTCTTTGGGTCTCCGTGAACTTTAAATAATAGCCATTGTTTGATGAGTGTATTCGTATGTAACAGGCTTTGTGTTGAGAACTTTATTTCTTTATTCGCATTTTCTTATTAAGTCCTTAGAATGCACATTCTGCATTAAAGAATTCTAAAATTTCGTGACTTAAAACAATATCCATTCTGTTTGCTCACAATTCTGCAATCTGGACTGGGTGTGGCTCTATGGTTCTGCTGGTCTTACTGATGGTCACTGATGTGTTTGCAGTCAGCTGGTGGGGCTGGCTGGGGCTGGGCTCAGCTTAGATGCTGCATAGCTGGAGTTTTCCTTCTCTCCATGTATTCCAGGGCCTCTCCTTCTCCATCTGGTTTCTTCAGCTTGGTGGTTAGATTTCTACCTAGTGGCTTAGGTCTCCCAAAAGTGCAAAAGTGGAAGCTTCTATACCTTCTTAGAGGATGGATGGTGGGGGAGTCGGGGACTGGCACAGCTTCACTGTTACATTTTCCTGGTAAGGAAAATCACTGGCCCAGTTCGGACTTAAGTGGAAGAGACTACATAAGGGTGTGAATAACAGGAGGCTGGGCCATTGAAGGGCAGCCCTGTAACAGACTACCACAATAGTATCTCTAATTTATAAATGAATAAACTGTGACATAGGGAGACCAAGTTACTTGCCTAAGGTAGAGGATAGAACAACGTACTTCAACGCTTGTGTTCTAAGTCACAGATTAACAGGTAAAATTTGTATAGTGTTTTAATCTAGACTCTTCCTGTGATGTGGGTACTGTTATTGTCCTTAATTTACAAAGAGGGAAACCCAGGAATAGACAGCTTAAATATCTTGCCTGAAGTGACTCAGTTATTTTGCTCGAGAAATTGTACACTTACACACTACACTATGCTGCCTCTTTTGGGCAATACCTGATACACACGATGTTATTTAATCTGAAGCTATTGTTGGAAGGGCTGGGGTGACAGCACATCTTTTGAATCATTCACTGTCACATCTAATAGGCTGTTTGGGAACTGGGAGTTTTTGAGTTATCCTGTGATTGGGGCAATTTTCTTTTCAGACATCTACTCCTCTGTCCTCTACTCTCTGTTTCTTGAAGCTTGGAATGAAGACTGCATCCTTGCCCATCCTTTCCCAATCCTTATTCTCATTGCCCATCCAATATCAACCCCAATTCTCACCTTCCTTCTGTGGTGAGAACCCTCCTGGAGTAGAGCTAGCCACAAGTTTCTATTCTTTAACCATCAAGTCAGCCTTGTGGCTTCTGAATTAGTACCATTTGGTCCCAGTCACTTCCTCTAGTACCATAACTAATTTCCCCATTGTTGCAATTGTGGTGGCTTCTGAGCATAGCTTGCAAAGATTCTACTTCCCATGGAGTGACCTGTAGTGGCTCCCCGCCCCCCACCCCCCAACCAGTCCTATAGGCAGAGGACTTGCTGCATGGAAAACACCTGGTTCCAAAGGCTCCTAAACGGAGCCATGCTCTGCTTACTTTTGAAGATGATCCATATGCCTGTCATTGTCTAAGGCAGCCCTAATTTTTCCAGTCCTTGAGGAATAACAGGGGAGGTAATTTTGGTGGGCTCTGCTCTATTTTGGGCATGGATGTATGTAGCTATTCAGGGAATGCCCCCAAATTTTACTACCTTTTGCAAGGAGAAACTATGAGGTGACCTTATCTTTCCCTTGAACTTTTCTCCTTCAAGGCAACTCCAGAATTTGACATTATTTCACCCTTATAAAAATGTTAAGGCACAATACCTGAACTTAATGCAATTTTATTTTATAACAAACACTTATGTAGCCAGCCGTGCTGTGTAAAGTCCTTTACATACGTTGCCTCATTTAATTTATTCGATAAACTTCTGTTTGAATCAAATGGGGTGGGGTAGGGGCTTCCTGGAAAGTGGCTTACCTAGCCACCCTCTCCTCCCCTTCAAAGGACAGGGAACAAGGGAGAAGGAACCAAGCTGCTCTGAATGAAGGACAAGGCCACCTCCTCCTACTTCCCGCAGCTGTCTCTCCAGGCTTGACCTTCCCTCCCTGGCTAGAGGCAGGGGGTCTCCACCCCTCGTCCAAATCCAGTTGGTGGGAGGGTGGGTGGCTTTTTCCGGGTCATTGGCTCGCCCTCTCTACTCCCAGCCACCTGTTCGGGTTCCATCCCGGCTCCAGGCTCCCTAGAGGGCGGCAGGGACATTCCAATCCTCCCACTCTCCGCGCGGATGTCGCGGGGGAGGTGAGGGGCTCCCCATCCAGCACCCAGCTTTGATCCGGTTTCTTCTCAATCCCTAGTGGCCTGAGTAATCCCGAAGAAGAAACTAAGGATTGATGAATGATTTGTAGGTGTTTACAACCCATCCGTTGGCGAAGTCGCATCTCCAGCGACAGAGGCACTTTTTGGGTACCGTCTGCGCTCTAGCAGATAATTGAAAGCCAAGCAATCAAGATGCCTCCTCGCCAGACCAAATATGGTCACAAGCGTTAAGCAGCCTCCCGTGGAAAGGCTGGCTTTAGTGTCTTCCCGCGCCAGGGCGCACTGAGGCCCGCCCTCGGGCAGAATCGCGGGTCACTGCTCCACACCTCGGCGCCCGGCTGGAGGGGAGGGCGCGGCACCCAGGACTGGCCCTTCCTTGGCCTGGGCCCCTCACCCGCGTGCCCTCCGCCACCCCCAGCCTTGGTTTCGGTCCACAAGCCTTTGATTAAACAGGCCCTGGCCACTTTCCCTTTGATCCCGCCCCAAGTCCGTGGTAAACTCAAAGGAATGCAGACCCAGGACTCCGGAGGGAGAGGTCCGTGCAGCCGGGAGGAGTGGGTGGGGGGCACCCGTCTCCTCTTACCCTGTAAAGTAGCTATCACGCCCAGGGTTTTCTGGAGCTGGGATGGGAGGAGGAGGAGGAGGAAGAGGAGGGGCGAGCGGGGACAGGCAGGCTCAGGACTTGGAGGTCATGCATAATTCAACAGCTCAACTTTCGGACCCGCCTCTTTCCTGGGGGTGGGAGTTTGCTCCAAACTTTGTTTATGGGACAGTCCCAGAGCTGCTGCGGCCGCGCTGTCTGCTTCTCCTGCGCCTCCTCGCCGAGTGCGAGCGCCTGAAACCAGCTCGGGGGATGTGAGAGCCGAAGCCCCTCGGTTGCCAGGCACCGAGTCAGGTCGGGATTTGCCAGCTGGGCCGCGGCTACAGCTCTGCAAGCTTGGGACGCACCCGAACGACCCAGGCCGGACGGCAAGTTCGGGCGGGACGGCGGCCGCAGCGCGCTCAGGCTTGGCTTCGCTGCGCGGCCAGGTAGTGCCCTCTGGAGCGCTCACCCGGCACCACTCCAGGGCGCCAGCTCCTCGGGCTTCGTGCAGTTGGCTTGGGTTGAGACTTCTTTGGGGATAGGGGTGCTGCCTGCCCTGGAAAGCTACGACCTGTCCTTTGCCATCTTGAGGTTCAGCGACGTCCCGAGCGCAGTTACTTGCCACCTCCCCCCACCCCCCGCCCTTCCTTCTCCTTCTCCTGGCAACTTCTTTGCTTCAAGAAAGTTGCATAATTCTCGAGGTCAGGAGGGACCCCCTCCCCCATCCGGCTGGTTTTACTGCTGAGTGTCTGGGATCCCAAGGCGGACACCTATCTGTCTCTTCTTTTTCTTTTCTCTCTATTCTTAACCCCACTTTCCCACCCTCTTCCTCCACCTTTAAATAAAATGCTGATCTGACCTCCTTTCTCCTTGCAGAAGATGAATCCGGCCTCGGCGCCCCCTCCTCTCCCACCGCCTGGGCAGCAGGTGATCCACGTCACGCAGGACCTTGACACGGACCTCGAAGCCCTCTTCAACTCTGTCATGAATCCTAAGCCTAGCTCGTGGCGGAAGAAGATCCTGCCTGAGTCCTTCTTCAAGGAGCCTGATTCCGGCTCGCACTCACGCCAGTCTAGCACCGACTCGTCGGGTGGCCACCCGGGGCCTCGGCTGGCCGGCGGCGCCCAGCACGTCCGCTCGCACTCGTCTCCCGCGTCCCTGCAGCTGGGCACTGGCGCGGGCGCGGCGAGTAGCCCGGCGCAGCAGCACGCACACCTCCGCCAACAGTCCTACGACGTGACCGACGAGCTGCCGTTGCCCCCGGGCTGGGAGATGACCTTCACGGCCACTGGCCAGAGGTACTTCCTAAAGTAAGTCAGCCTGGAGCCATGGGGGCCACAAACTCACGATGCCCAGAGCGCGCGCGTGTTCGTGTATCTGTGTGTGTGTGTATGTGTGAGCGAGAGCGAGCGAGCGAGAGAGCGTGTCCTTCCACGGGTCGAAGATATGGAAAGCTGGAATCGAGTCTCCGGGTGTTGGAATTGTAAGAGATCGAAAGCAGAGGAGAATCTGGTGGGGTTCATCTTGGAAGTCCTGAGATTCAGGACATGGAAACTCCTGGACGTAGGAGAAAAAAATAAAAGTTTTGGGGGGATTCCCATAAAACACACAAATGCCTTTGCCCGGAATCTGGACATTTGAAACAGACTCCTGGGCACAGCTTCTTTTCTGAGCACTCTAAGTCAGATAGCCCGGAGCCAGGTCCTTTGGGACGTGACGTCAAGGTAAATGAGAGAAAAGTTGTGAGGCGTGGGGAGCAGGGGGCCTCTTGATAGAGTAGGTGGTGCGAAGTCCCTATCTTCTAGAGAAAAGCAAACTGCAAAGTGAACAGTGGTTGGTAGGCCTTATTGCTCCCAGCTGGGTGACATAATGATCACATAACACAGTGATGTAATTAGCAACTGTGCGGAGAAGTAGTTGTGGGCTGGACAAATCAATTATGTGGAAATTGGGTCACGAGTTTTATTATGCTGAACTTGGTAACCTAAAATACCATCAAATCAGAAGCCTCCTTTGTGACTCTTCTTCCCTTCACGTTGTTCCAGCTTTTTGATGTCATGAATTTTACATCAGATTCAAATTTTTGGATTAACCCCACAGGAAAATATATTCTGAAATACTAGAGGAGATTGTTTCAGTTGTGGTACCCTAAGATAATTACATTGCTGAGGAGAAAGCAAGCTGGAACTTGAAATGTACTCAGTGAGTTTTCAGGGGGTCAGGCTATCAAAGGCCTAGATGGAAGGGGTGCCAGCCAGACCACTTGTTTCAGTATTGCCTGCACTTGGCTGGCGTTCACTGCCAACGAGGGAAACTCTTCTTCTAAGAACTTGCTTTAGAGTTCTTTTTTTTTAATCAATTAATTATTATTATTATTTTTTGCACCTACTCCCACCCCGACGCTCCCTCCACTGGAGTTCATTTTAAAGCCTATATTTCTCTGGTAGAGTAGCCTTAGCTCAAAAGTTATGTTAAGGCCGGGCGCGGTGGCTCACGCCTGTAATCCTAGCACTCTGGGAGGCCGAGGCGGGCGGATTGTTTGAGCTCTGGAGTTCAAAACCAGCCTGAGGAAGAGTGAGACCCCGTCTCTACTAAAAAAATAGGAAGAAATGAATCGGACAACTAAAAATATATAGAAAAAAATTAGCCGGGCATGGTGGCGCATGCCTGTAGTCCCAGCTACTCGGGAGGCTGAGGCAGGAGGATCGCTTGAGCCCAGGAGTTTGAGGTTGCCGTGAGCTAGGATGACGCCATGGCACTCTAGCCCGGGCAAAACAGTGAGACTCTGTCTCAAAAAAAAAAAAAAAAAAAAAGTTACGTTAAGACTTTATATGCAATTTAAAAAATATAATCAAATCATTCTTTGGCACTAATATTTGATAGTTTGATTGCTATGAGAGGGCCCTAAGAATGAATACACAGTGATGGATGAGGTTTATTTTAACCAACTCTTTGACTCATACCAGTGACCAATTCCTATTCCTTCCCCATCCCAAAGCTGTTGACATCTTGTGCAAGGACGAGTTCTTTTTTCGTTTCTGGTATTGGTGCAATGCTGAGATCCTGAAACAGACTTGATGGTCATTTATCCCACAGCTGGTCTTTGGGTTACTGAATGATAGTATGGACATACACTCTGTGCTTTGACATCTGAGTGGCTGGTGGTAGTCAAGTACATGAAGTAATGACATGACATTTCTTAAAAGTGATGATATTGTTCCAAAGGATGACATTGGTTTCTGTAGTACATATTGGTCCAAAATAGCATCATCTATTAAGTTTACCTAGGTGAATGCAGTTTTGAATATTTTACTGTGACTTTTATCGAAATAGACAAATAGAAAGAGAACTAACAATTTTTTAATAATTTTGGGAGGTCCTTCTTGGTCCCTAATTATTTCTAAACTGTGTTTATGAATATACACACACATATGGTATATGATCAGTATAAGTGTGATTATTACAAATATGAAATAAGAGCTGGGCTTACCTAATATCAAAGCTACATGAAAAAGATCCGAAAACAAAAGCAAAACAAAAAAATTCCTTTTATATGTGTGTTTTGAGTGATTGGAGTATCGCAGAACTGTTTGAAGGAGGGCAAAAATGGAAATTATCTTGGGTTTAGAGAAAGTTGCTGTGATCTGTCTCTGCCCATCCCCCCCAACCACAGCCACTCTCCAATTCAAAGCAAAGTGCATCTTTATTTCACTGTGGATAGTCAGTGAAGATAACAGCTCAAAACAAAACACGTATACTTGGTAGGCTGGCCTGATCTGATGCTATCCCAGGAAATTTTTGGCCAAATGACTAAGGGAATTTAAGAAATTGAGTCATTGTGACTGTTGTCTTTCAGAATAAGCAATCTGCCAAGAGTTCTCTGAGTTTCTTTTAGAGCTTTGTTTAAAGTTGAAATAAGGTAAATGTCATATGTTACACTTTGTTACACAGCCTCAAAAGGCAGTATATTTCACTAGTTTAAGTAGAAGTGTGAAAAATGATGGCGACTGACCCTGAGTTAATTTTCATATAATCTACCCATTACTTTGCTTGTCATCTGTGAAGTGGGGCTAGCGGAAGAATCTTATTCTTCACTCTGTTGGGAGGTGAGGGCTTTATAAATCAGAAATCAAAGGATTTTAGAATTGACTATGGTTAATTTTTTTTTTTTTTTGAGACAGAGTCTTGCTCTGTTGCCTGGTAGAGTGCGGTGACGTCAGCTTAGCTCACAGGAACCTCAAACTCCTGGGCTCAAGCAATCCTCCTGTCTCAGCCTCCCCAGTAGCTGGGACTACAGGCATGTGCCACCATGCCCGGCTAATTTTTTCTGTATATTTTTAGTTGTCCAGCTAATTTCTTTCTATTTTTTAGTATAGATGGGGTCTCGCTTTGCTCAGGCTGGTCTCGAACTCCTGACCTTGAGCGATCTTCCTGCCTCGGCCTCCTAGAGAGCCAGGATTATAGGCGTGAGCCACCGCACCGGGCCCCAATGATAACTTCTTGTCCATAAATTTTTTCAACTTGAGAGGTTGAGCTTTGCTCATGGTATGTACTCCATGGATTCAGAGACAGCTCATAAATAATTCTTAAAGTTGAAAATTCATAGGCAACATTTACGTGGTTACAATTCTGTAGGGTGATTCTTTGCTGAGTGTGTTAGGGTTGAATTTTAGACTTGCACTTCTAATCAAAAGAAGATAAATCCAGCAGGAAAGTCAAGTGGGTTTTTTCTTACGCTTTATCAGTTGTTTAAATTTGTGTTACCTTTTAGTTTCTTCATATTTGGACGATGAAAATACTTTTGTCTGGTATTTCTAGTTGCCTTTTTATGTGTTTGTGCATTATCTGCCTCTATTTTTTACTCAAAAGTTTTCTAGGTTCTCAATCCCATGTGTTCTGTCAGGTCTCCTTTCCCTAAGCTGTGTGCCCAGATTCCTTCATCTTTTCGTGCCATGCTGGATTGATTGCTCTCTAGGCCTGCGATCGAGCTGTGATTCTGAGGTTTTTCTCCATGGCTGGAGTGCTATTGCCTTTTCCCATGTCTTCCTCATTTTTGGTTTATGCACTCATTTTGCTGCAGTACATGCTTGAGTAATTTCTTAAGAAATGGTTTGTAGGAGGTACATTTTTCAAGTCCTTTTCTATCTGAGCATGTTTGCTTTAAAAGTTGTTCTAAATTTATTTTCTTAAAGAACTGACTTTGGTTTGTTTTCTGTTTACCTTTGAATGGCAGTCTTTTGTAGCTGTTTTCGTGAAGGGCCTTTTGTCATTCAAAAATTATTGCCCTTGCCTCAGTTTCCTTTTCTGTAAAATGAGGATAGTTATACCTATCTCATGGTGGTTTGAAAGATAGATAACATATTTAAAGCATCTGGTACACAGTAGACATACAAGTTAGTTCTTGCCTCCCCTTCCCTCTCTCCCAACACACGTACTCGTCTACCCAGCCAAATTCAGATGCGGAAACCTTGGCAGTAGGGTAAGGTGATTTTTCACTCCTGGTTATAGCTATGGCTCTGAATGACAACCTGGATCTGGAGTTGAAAGTCAGTTTTAAATTTAAAATAAAGACTTACAGTCAATCTTCCTGTTTAAAAAAACCTAAATAGGATTGTCCACTGTGGGTGCCATTTTACTTCAGCGTCTTGGGCAGAGGATACCAGCCCCTTTTGAGGAGTGTCTACTTTTTATTTTTGGAATCTGGCTTATAGCTACTAGTTGGGCCATTTTGTGTGTGGGATGGGGGAGGGGGAGGGGATGGAGAAGGAAAAAGAGCTAAGGGGGAAGGTAACTGACATTTGTTTTTTCTTTCTTTTTCTTCTTCTTTTTTAAACCAAAAATTTATCCTGACAGAGACATTTGTTAATGACCTGCTCTGTGCAGACAAGCTAGAGAACTGAGACAGTGCTTCCCAGCGAGATAGCACCAGAATCATATGTGTATGGAAACTTTTTTCACAACCCTAGGTGCTTTTACATGTATTCTTTCAACTGTCACAGTGGCCCTGTGAACAGGTTTATTTTACCATGTCATTTTACTGTTGAGGAAGCTGAGGCTCATGAGGTTGAGTAAGTATCCTGGGGTCACATAGCAGGTGAGTGGCAGAGATGGGATTTGAATTGCGTGATTCAAAAACCTGTGTTCCTGCCCTTATGCCATGATGTCTCATGCCAATTACGTGCTCATAATTAGGCCCTGCAATTAGGTATCCTTAGTGGCCAGACAACTCTGGAGTGGTGGATGGACCATTAGAATTTGCTTCTAAGCTGGCGTCTAAGTGATCCCATTTAGAGCTCTCATTGCTGCTGAG